AGCTTAAATCAAACGTTTGAAAAACTATTACAGAACTTGTCTGGGGATAGACAAGGAAAAATCTCAAATACGTGAGGAGGAAGAGTACAACCTCCCAAAAAAAAAAAACAGGGCTCATCTGTCCCGGATGTTACCACCCTGTAAGGGCTCCTAGTCAGGTTTACGGCAGGGTCACGAGGACTAGCGGGTACGTTGACGCTACCCGAAAGGGATGTGCTGGATGATTCGTATAGCGCAGTTCCCGTGGAAACTCCCGGCGTCAACGCGTCGCACCCACGGGAGTGTCAGGATGTCGATGAAGGAAGTAGGTGAACGGAAAGGGCGGATGATTAATTCCCGCCCTTATAGCCAAAAGCTCTCGCAACAACAGGGGTAGTTACGAAGGTGATCACCCCCCCCCCATTCTTGAGACACCGCGTTCGAAGACGGTCTGACACTCTGAAGTAATAATATAACTTATGGAGAAACAAAAACAAAATCAAAATCAAAATAAAAAAATGGAAAAAGATGGAAGATAGATCGCTGAGCAAAGCGACAAAGGTGAAGATTCTCAGCTTGCGAAGGAGACACGACAGGATGGAGAGAGAGAGAATCTCGCGCAAGCGTGATCYCTCCTTGCTAATATGATTATTATTATTAACTGGCATTAGGGACTCAAAAGCTCAATATGTATGAATTATGTATGAAATATGTATGAATTTTCAAAATGTTTATAATAGGACGAATGTACAATTCTTATGTGAAAGCTATAGCTATTTTAACACTACGATTAATATACAAATCCATTCGATAATTTAAAATAAAACATATTATATATGAATCGTAATAAGCAATAACGTCTTAATCAACATTTTTTTTCGCAATTTAGTCAATWTAATATTCGGGCTTAGACATAATTAGTTGATAAAAATACACTGTCAACAAATTTTTTTCAACAATGTTAATTAAGACGTTATTGCTTATTACCATTCATATAATTTTATACAATTTCAGTAGTATAGTCTTATGTAGTATAGATTACTTTTAAATTGCAATAATTAATATTAATATTACGTAACTCCTTAACACTAGATTTACCAGCTATTTAACACGTTGCGTACCGCGTCACCCGTACATGGGTGATACTTTTCTTGTTGAAGTTAAATAAGATTATCAGTTGAATTTTGAAAACAAATTTAATGGAACAAGTTCTGAAGTATAAATATAGAATATACAGCGTAAAAATATAAAAAATACACAGATAACACTCTACTTTTTATTAATTTATATAGGATGACATATTATAATATTATACTATGTCGCATGAAATTCGTTGAAACAGTCCAAGCACATCTGTGGCGATTTTAGGCAATTCAAACAATACGTTGTTTTTTTAAGGTTTTTTCTTGCTTGTTGGCGTTCGACCATTTTCTTTTCTTTTTGTAACAAAGTACGCACATCTTTCTTACAGGCTTCCCTTGCTGATTTTTGCGGATCTCCAAGTGGTGAGACAGTTTTCTTTTTTTGAGTCTATTAGGGTTGGGCACAGTATCTATTAAGGACAACCATTCAGTGACTGAAAGTTCACGGAATTTTCTTATATGTATATTTTTTTGTGTACCTCTCTGATACACTATATTGTGCATTTACTATCGTTGTACCTAAAAGTAAATATATTGCTAATTTGCGATACCACTTGATGGTTTTTCGTATATTTGTTGCATATGACACCATCTGGTCGCTTCTGTCGATGCCACTTTTACCAATATTGTACTCACTTATCGCTAAAGGTTTCATTTTCGTAGGACGCCCGCGCCATGAAGAATTCGAGCTTGGAGTCATGATGGGAGGATTTTTTGTGGATAAGATTGTGACATCGCGAACATCTCTCCATTTTAGTACTACAATACCATTTGGATCTTCTCGTGCCACCATTTCACCTTTTTTCAACGGATACGACATTACACAACTTGGCATATTTTTTTTATTGCGCTGTATCGTTCCAACCACATGCGTCTTAGAATTTAAAAATTTAAGTGCTAATTCATAACTAGTGTAAAAATTATCAACAAATAAAGTACGCCCTTCTTTCAATAATTTGTCTGCAAGTTCAGTGCAGACACTCTCTGCTATGCCAACTTTTCTTTTTCCGCCGGTATCTCGTCCAGAATATATTTTTAAAGACCATGTGTATCCTTTGGTGGAGCATAGTTTGAACAGTTTTACACCGTACTTATGTGACTTTGTTTGAATATACTGCCGAAATACTAGTCGTCCCCTCCACGGAACCATTGTCTCGTCGACAATAATGTCTTTGCCTGGTGAAAAAACCTTCTGATAATTAACCATCAATATGTCTACAAGTGGTAAAACTTTTCCAAGTCTGTTATTTTGTACTATCGTTTCATTGTTAGCAAAATGCAAGTTTGATAGCAGTTCTTCAAATCGATTGCGGGACATTGTGCTGCGCGGCAATGAAAAATTGTATACAGGATCCGTTGACCAACATTTCTTTAGCGGTGTTCGTACTAGACCCATCCAAATCATTAATCCAATAAATTTTTTAATTTCTTCGGAAGTGGTGAGATTCTATTTATTTTGTCCAGCGTGACCAGTCGTTTTATGTTCAAATAATTTCTGCTCTGCATATCTATTAGTTTCTGTGACTAAAAGACTTATTACTGTTTCATTCAAGAATAGCGAAAGAACTTCTCCAGGGCTAATGCAAGACGGCAAATCCAACAAAGGCCCACTTTTTCCAGTGAACGGAAATGATTGTTGCCTACTTTCGAACTCGTTCCATTGGATATTTTTCACTGAATTATCAGCTGTTTTCAATTTCTCTTCTTCGTCTAAAGCCAGTTCTTCTAGTAATTCTTCAATATCTTCACTTGCATATGATTCATCAGTATCCGAGCTTGAACTYGACGAAATTCTATTTCTAACTTTTCTTCTAAAACTCACAACGTTTTCATCACTACTCTCATTTTCAATTGTACTTTCACGACGTCCAATAAACATTTTTGGGATAAAAAATTACTGAGGTGCGTTTCAGAAAAAGTATGCTTCTAAACTGTATAATTTATTCCTGAAAGATACATGCTTTCCAGGGAAAGCGATAAACGTTTCCAAATCCAAAATAGGCTACTTACCAATAAGATTATTTCAGAACAAAACAATGTATCAATTACATAGGTCGATAGCACTGTAAGTGTAGATAATCGACAATGCATGGATCTACTAGAGTTACATTGTTGGTTTTCCTGCATATCTCTCCGTTATCGTTCTAGTGCGCCGAGAAAAAACTTGGGCCCGAAGGAAACAAAATGTAACAACGCTTGATACGCAACGTGGTAACCTTTTCGCTACGGAGCGCTTGCGCCAAAATGTGATCGCTGTGAACGGACCGCATTACTGAGTAGTTGACACTGAAGTACGAAGTGCTACGAAATAATTGGAAGTCGTTTCTTGTTCTCTAAATTTTACAATGACATTTATTATATTCAGCAATATCATCTTACTTTCTAAAATATAAAAATGTATAATCGAAATTTATTTTTTTAAATATTTTATTATAATGTTCATGTGATATTTTTTAATACAACGAAATGACTAAAGTATTTAAAGCCAAACATAATATTACTAATCAACTTTGGTGTGATAAATTTGAAAGCATAGTACCACACATAACCCCACATTACATTGTGAACAATAGTATCTCGACTCACGTCTTTTTCCTCGTTTACTGCAGACGACACATTTTCGAACTTAATTTTTTTTTTGACGCCTCATTCGAATATATAGACGGGAAATGCCTTTCAGTAAGTCTTTCAGGATTATTATTATTTCATGAAACTGAACATCTCATATCTAATGTTTGTTTCCCGTATGTTTGCAATAATTGTCTTATAAGAGTTAAATAAAATTTGGCAAACGGTAATTTTGTGGCAGTTGCTGATTGGAATAAACTATATGCATCCCACACAACCATGTCTAGCATGTGAAAAAAGTATTTTTTATACTATTTTAAACTTTTACAAATACATTCAACCGATTTTAAAACCATATCAATGTTGTCAACGGCTCCCATATTGGCATTATAATCAATGACGCAGGTCGGTTTTTGTCTTGGTAGTCCGGTACGATAATCTATCTTAGTTTTATCAACGATGTCTACCGAATGGCAAGTTGTTATCATCCAAACATCGCGTTTGTCATGTCATTTTAATGCTAATAAATTATTGCACGAACGGAATGATATCTCGCCTCTTTTAAAATGATTGGAAATAATAGGCATATTTTTACGGTTTTTTTTACCGTTCCGCAAGCATTTGTTTTATGACGTTGTAATTTTGTAAATAAAGCGGGGCTTGCATACCAATTATCGACAAATACGGTATGGCCTTGTTCAAGATATKGTTCTAAGAGTGTCATAACGACACTTCCTGATTTTCCTAAATTGTCATCGGACTGTCCGTGTGAATCTGTAGTTTTTCCTGTATATACAATTCATGATAGTCAATTGCTTAAGGCATGCAGCGTTGCCAGATATTTGATTAACAAAAGTATCTCATATAAAGTATGAAATCAAAGTATATATGGTATGAACGTATATATACGCTCTTCGTACCCATGCGCCCACTTTTCCAGAGCGTATATATACGCTCTTCGTACATGAATGGTCATTCTTCGAGGGCGTATATATACGCCCGTCGGAGCGAAAGGGTTAAGCTCTGAATGAAGTTTTCTTTCACTAAGAGATCGATAGTGTATTTAAAACAATTCTAATTCCCTCGATAAACATCTTACGATTTTGATTCTATCTGTGACTATTGCATTCAGCATTCCATTTTTATTGCTTGAATTTGGAAAAGTGTAGTTCTTATCACCTATTCCACCCACTGATAATGCAGGTGCTCCTTTTTATATATGGTAATATTATGTTAAATAAATCCTACAATTATCTTACTCTTGAAACTGTGCATTCGTCTCGTTCTCTCGTAACTTAGTTTTTTGAAGGTTTCACTTCTAACACTCATAGATATTAATTTTTAGCTTCAAAAAAATATAAACTTTTGCTTACGTTTAATTGTCCGAAAAAAGGTATACATTTTTAAAAACATTAGGATAAATAAACAATTCAGTAATCAATTAACCTTACTTTTGGGTTTAGTAATTATTATAGAATAACAGATAGTTATAGGCAGACATTTGTTTTTGATAAAATGAAAAGTTTTTAATAAGAAATATACTTTGTATTTATTTTAAATAATATAAAATTAACTGTTTTTAGAAAGTAGTATTCTACTTCGAAGCATATAGCTAATAAAAAAATATAGTCTATTGCAAAAGCTGTTGTAACTGAAGAAAGGCCTAAAGTTAAAGCACACATTGCT